CCCCCCGCCCCCGACTTGAAGTCACTGGTTAGTACCTACCCGGTACAGCTAACCCTCGACCCCCTAATCCGGGGATGCGTGCACCGCGACTCCGGTAACCCTTAATACATTGGACTAAATTACTGCCAGTCTTAAAATTGCTTTTGGAAATGGAAGGATGTAAAAAGTGTGTAAATAGAGAAAGGAGGAAAAAATAAGGGGTAACAAGTAACCTGTTCGACCAACTCTATATAATACCTGTGACTCCGGCACTAAGGCGCAACGAGTGAGCACTGGCTCTGTATCGTTTTTACTGACGCCACCTTGAAAATTGCTTCCCCAAGCGGATCGCTTCACGGAAGTGAGTATCGTATCCCTTTCTAAGGAACGACGAGTCGACCAGTTCAAAGGGGTAGCATAAGAGAGTTGGTTAGGTTAGATTCGATGAAAGGAAGACAAGCATATATGGGATAGTTTGTTTACTTGGAGCGTGTAAGGGGGTGGATGAAATCTTATCCGATTTTCTGACCTAGTGGATAACGCGTGCATATGAAGAATATTTATATCGCAATTTTCGTTGATAACATCGGTCACGGAAATTTTGTGAATTTTGAGAAAGCTTGAAAAGAAAGATTTCGAGGAGAGTGCATGTCTCTGTCATTGTGCACTGAAGATAAATATTATATGAAAATTGAATTTATCCTACGGATTGCGAAAGTGTATGAATTATGGATTCCGATTGGGATTCATATAAGTATGAATGATGTAGTGTGAGAATTTTGAATTGGAGCTCAATACGGGAGTACCAAAGCCGAGTTTCTGCTTCGCGAGGAATTCATCCCTTAAGAAAATACAGGCAATAACCTCTGGATCTCATTGAGGGTAGGAGGCTGTAGGGGTTGGAGCGGAGTCTCCTTCCTTCGGGTCGCCTCGCTCTCTCGGGTTCGACCCTGTCCCCCGTGCATCCCCTTTGACCCCGTCGCTGGCGCTTCGTTCAGGGCTGCAAAGACGCTGCGTAGGAGGCGTTGGAGGGGTAAAAGAAGACGGGGAAAGCTGTAGGGTGG